CTAGGCTTCTTCCAATTTGAGAGAATGCCGCAGGGAATAACTGGAGCGCCTGCGACTTTCCAGCGTCTAATGGAAAAAACAGTCGGAGACATGAACCTCCTCCAAGTCCTGGTATACCTGGATGACCTGATTGTCTTCGGAGAGTCGCTGGAGGAACACAAAGAACGGCTCATTCAAGTCCTAGATCGTCTTGGAGAAGCAGGACTAAAGATCTCCCTGGACAAATGCCAGTTTTGCCAGCCACAGGTGAAGTACCTTGGGCATGTGGTGTCTGCCCAAGGTGTCTCTCCTGATCCGCAGAAGATTGAGGCTGTTACCACCTGGCCTCAGCCCCACAATCTAAAGTCTCTGAGATCGTTCTTAGGTTTCTGCGGATACTACAGGCGATTCATTGCTAACTATGCTGCCATTGTGAGACCACTCACTGAACTGACCAAAGGTTATGCTCCGACACAGAAGAGTAAGAAAAAGAGTCCAGACCTCAACAAGTTCTACTTGAAAGAGTCAGAACCCTTTGGAGATCGGTGGGATGACTCCTGCAGCAAAGCCTTTCAGCAGATCATCCACTGCCTAACCCATGCACCGGTATTAGCCTTCGCTGATCCTACCAAGCCCTATGAGCTCCACGTGGATGCAAGCTTCAAAGGACTGGGGGCTGTCCTATACCAGCTACAAGAAGGAGAACTAAGGCCGGTTGCATTTGCCAGCAGGAAGTTAAGTCAGGCTGAGAAGAGGTACCCCATACATCAGCTGGAGTTCCTGTCATTAAAGTGGGCTGTGGTGGATCGCTTTCATGACTATCTGTATGGAGCGCGCTTTACAGTGCGTACAGATAATAACCCCTTGACTTATGTTCTGTCTACGGCGAAGCTCAATGCCGTGGGACACAGATGGTTAGCTGCTTTGTCCACATATGACTTCGATGTCCATTACAGACCAGGCAAGCATAACATAGATGCAGACATCCTCTCCAGAAACTTTGACCCTGACACCGAATGGGAGACTATACCGGAGGCAGCTGTTAAGTCCATCTGCAAAAGAGTACGAGTGTCAGAAAGCCCAGAGTGTCCCACCAGATGTGTCGACCAAACTGGGGCTTCCCCGGAATGCATCCCTGACATCTATGCATTTCCTCTTACAATGGAGTTACAGTCACTGGAACACGTCTCAAAAGCTGATCTCGCTAAGGCACAGAAAGAGGATCCAGTCATTGGTCCGGCAGTCAAAGCTGTCCAACAGAATTTATGGACAGGCAACAGTCCGGAGCTGTCGCTCCTAAAAAGAGAGAAAGATAAGCTGACTTTGCTGAGTGACGGTCTGCTCTACCGTGTCACCAAACGTCACTCAGGGGAGGAGGTCCGTCAGCTAGTCTTGCCAAAGGTGTATCATGACGTTGTGTTGAGATCGGTACATAATAACTTAGGACACCTCGGCATAGAGAGAACTCTGGATTTACTCCGTCACAGGTTCTACTGGCCAAGAATGTTGCAAGACATTGAGCACCATATCAAAAGTTATGGTGAATGCATAACACGCAAGACTCCTGCCCAGAGAGCCGCACCGCTTCACCAGATCTCCAGTAGTGGACCTATGGATCTGGTGTGCATTGACTTTCTCTCAATGGAGACGGATTCCAAGGGCATGAGAAATGTTTTAGTGGTCACCGATCATTTCACACGCTATGCCCAGGCATTCCCGACCAAGAATCAGACATCTCAAACAGTGGCCAAAACCTTAGTGGATAAGTTTTTCGTCCACTATGGCCTTCCGGCTCGTATCCATTCAGACCAGGGGCGAGACTTTGAGAGTCGTCTGATTAAAGACTTGTTGAAGAACATGGGGATACGGAAGTCACGCACTACTCCGTATCATCCGCAAGGAGACCCTCAGCCAGAGCGGTTCAATCGAACGCTGCTTTCAATGTTGGGTACTCTAAGCACAGAAAAGAAACGTCAGTGGAGCCAGCATGTCCCTTATTTGGTCCATGCTTATAACAGTACAAGATGTGATGCAACTGGTTTTTCACCATACTTCTTAATGTTTGGTCGTGAAGCCAGACTGCCAGTGGACTTGTGCTTTGGGACCACAATTGACAAAGCTGAGGAAAGTCACTCACGCTATGTGTCAAAGCTTAAAGAAGATCTCCGTCAAGCTTACAAGCTAGCATCCGAGACGGCAGACAAAGTTCATCAGAAGAACAAAAAGGGCTATGACCAGAGAGTTTGTTTCCAGTCTCTAGAAATAGGAGACAGAGTCCTACTGAAGAATTGGGGTCTCAAAGGGAAGCATAAGTTGCAAACAAGATGGAGTCCAATACCTTACCAAGTTGTTGGGAAAATGCCCAATCTCCCTGTCTACCAACTGAAGAAGGAGAATGGAAGTGGTCGTCTAAAAACAATCCACAGAGATCACATCCTTCCCATTGGCCAACATGTGAAATTGCCAATCCTTGAAGAAGGCAATAACTGTTGTGACAGACAAAAACAAAAGGGCAAGAAACCAAAGCAGGCCACAATTGTGTCTGACCCTCAGCTGTCACAGGATTCTGATTCGTCCTCAGAGAGTGAATACTATGAGCCTCAGAGATACGGTTACTCTCAAGAAAGAGTAAGAGAAGCACTAAGACAGGCTCTTAGATCCCAAGCAGTGTCACAACAGGATTGTGCAAGTGACCAGGACAAGGTCAGTGATGAAACTGTTTCTGATGAGCGCAGTGAAAATGAGGAACTGCCACTGGAGGATGGAGACGTTAATCAGGACAGTGAGACTGAGCCCGACCAAATGGTGGATATTCAGGAGGAGTCTGACCAAAATGAAGACGATGATGAAGATTCTGCCCCAGAACCTGATCTGGATCACAGAACAGCCCAGTCTGACAAAACTCAGAAACCAAATACACACCGTAATCTATTGGGTGTCACTCCTAAACTAAGGCCTAAGAGACCGATTAAACCAGTAGTTCGTTTAACCTATGATGAGCCAGGAAAAGCTAAAGATCAGCCTATCACTATTATACATAGAGGGGTTGTTATCACTATAGGCAAAGACTAAGAGCCATAGTATGTTAAAAAAAAAAAAAAAAAAAAAAAGGGGTCATCCTACTTCCCAAGTTCTTGTAGTTCCTTGGTAGTCTGTTGAGGACACCAGACATTTAGTGGGGGGAGGGTGTAACCCGGGTTAAAAAGATGCATAAGTAGTAAAAGATAAGTAAAGTCTAAGAGTATAAATATCAAAGAGTAAAATTCATTTGTTCAATTTTCTTGTATATTAAAAAGATCAAAGTTCATGTCAAATGAGTAAAAACATGTTTGCATTGTTTAAAATAAGTTTTCTTTCTTTTATTGTGAATTGCTTGTGAGAACTGTAATTTCCTACGGGGATATGGTCTGTGAAGGTAACACAGCGTGGGGAAGAAGAAAAAAAAGAGGGAAGAGAAAGGGAGAGCGCGAGGAGAGATGGTGGTGGTGCGTGAGTTACACGGAGTATCCCGAAGAGTTAGCTTGTTTTTAGGTACTAGTAATAAGTGTGTTTTGACTTTTTGAAAAGATAAGTCATAGTGTCGGTAAGCTAGTGACATAACATGTAAAGTTTCAGCGTGAGTCTGCTGGACTGTGTGTTTTGTTTACTGCGTCCGTGCATGCATTGAGTTAAAGTGAGGCTAACACAGCCATTAGCTAACAAGGACTACTGTAGACTGCCGTTTCGCTAAAGTGGTGGAACTTAAACAAGCTGCAGAGGATCGTTACTGGACTGGATAGCGACAGACAGACCCCAGATAGTCACTCTGAGTGCCCGCGTCACTCTGAGTACCTCTGGCAACGTGGGAAGCTAAAAACAAGTAGCTTGTGGAGCACGTGGAGATCACGGACCTTCCTCATCTTTGGCTACTGCGTTCAGAGCGGAGTGCTTTTGAAGGAGCGGAAGACAACCTGTTGCCTGGAGTAATCTGGTGGGAATTGCATGTTTCACAAGGTACTGAGTTTATTTATTTATTTTTGCTCGTTGAGTGAAGAACTTTCGGTTTGGAGATCGTTTTGGATTTATACTGGAGCAATACAGGCCTGCAACGTAGGGTTTATCTCTGCCGGCTTTAAGTTTAGTTTGGGACTATAATTGTTTTATCACTGGTGGTTTATACTGTGTATGTGGGGATTCTGTGTACACTGGGTAAATTGCTGTGGGTGTTTTTGCTTTGCCTGAATACTGAAACCTGCCATTTTATTATTTTATTGTTTTCATTGTTTGGTAAATTAAAGGAGGGTTACATTGCTCTACTTTACATGGTGTATGATATGATTTACTGCACTGTAGACACTAGTGTTCATTTTCGCATGTAGTGCCACTGTTAAGGAATAAGCTTCATTGATCCCAGACACAAAAGAGAAGTTAATTTAAGAATATCGTACGAGAGTACACTAGAAAAAAGAACCCAAAGCCCATTTATTTAATGGTATTGAGTAAATGGGGGCTACATAAGCAAGCATGTAGCGACAGTGGAGAGAAAAAACTCCAGTTTAACAGGCTCAGTATAAGCAGCCATCCACTATACAACATGCTATTTTACTAAAAAAGAAACTGATTTCTGTAATTTGCTGCTTTGCAAAGGTTCTGTATAAATTTTCCATCCAGAATGTAAAAGTTGGGGAATAAGTAAAGCGGTCATGCAAAGGATTTAGTCTTTGCAGAATGCACTTATGCAACTATTGTGTCACTTACTAGTGGAAAACAGCACATTTCAACTTGCCTGACTTGATCAAGAGTTTCTGAGAGAAAACATGCAGCTGTCACTGACAGGTATGGGTGAATAATGAAAGAGTAACAAGGTAGATAACAGGCTCCCATCTATCGGCAAGTTAGTTGGTTTATTTGCTTCCAACCACTGCATTCTTCCACAGGCTCTGTTTAGAATGATTTTTGTTCAGAATGATTAATCTGCCTTTTGCTTTTAGTTTTCAGGCCACTTTTCTTATCTTCTTTGTTCCTGTAATCCTCATGAACAGGACCGTCCTCGGGGGCCACACTGACTCTAGCATTGACCTGTCTGACCCCGTCAGCGACCGGTTCTACAAGGAGGTGTGGATGACGACAGCTGGACGCAATGCTACCATTTATGAAAAGGTAGAATAGATGCCTAAAGAGAGGAAAAAGATAACCAAACAATTTATGATTGACAAGAAACTCAAGCGAGAAGTAGGTCTGAGACTGACTTTTTTTTTTTTTTTTTACTTGTACATTAAATGACAGTTGAAATCTTTGTGTAATTGTCTTAAAATGACCTTTGAGGCTATAAATTGCTTAATTCTACTCTCTGTGATCTGCTGTATTTTAAACCAAAACTCCCTTTTTGTTTCATCTTCAATAAAGTACAAATGTCTGCTCAGAATACGCCCAAGAATCCATCGTGGAAGGCATTCAGTTTTTCTCTGTTACTCAAAATGACAGATTTAAGATGGAAGAGAGAAATCACACCTGTTCTGTTTTGTTGCAGGTCTTCCGCTGTCTCCCTTCATCCCTGGTTAGGAACATGTCTGAGCTGGAACAATTTCTGTCCAAGTCAGGTTTGGCCCAAACCGACGTGGCCCGTGCTCAGGAGGAACTGCGCAAAATCCGTGGCTTCCTCGTCCAGTTTCCTTTGGACTTCTTGTCTGAGCAAAACCTGATGCCTTCTGTTGGAACCAAGGAGGCCATGGTGCCAACTGAGATCTGGACATAATGGAAGATAGCAGATACTTTAAAAACCACATGAAAAGATCCAGAGATGAGAGCTAGAGATGCTGTTTCCTGGCTTTATTTGACAAATCTCTGAGAAGAAGAAAAACACTTAACAGTTCAAAGCTACTACTTGTGTGTGGATGAAGAACATCAACATCTGCTTTGTGACTCCATGAAAAGTATGAAAAACTCTTGGTTTGGGGAATCAGTGTCAAGTCTGGATACGAGTTGACTCACAGAAACACAGAAGGGACCACGGCGAGGAAGCTAGAACATCTCAACAGCTGTACCAAGATTCTCAGCATGAGCCTCTGAGCAACGTAAGCGAGTCAGTCTGCAATGTGGGAGTTTGATGCTTTAGGCAGACTTGTTGAGTCTGCACATGTGTTGCTTTTTATGTCTTCAAGGTAATTTCACTATTACTCTTATTTCTCAGCAGTGGTGCATGCGTTGTTAGCAAACTGTTGATATGGAAGCCATAATGCATGTATAAAGAGCTCACTTGGTTTTTATGGAAACAAAAATCATCCAACATGTATTTCTCGCGAGCTATGTGTTGAGTGTGAGATCTGAACATAAACACAGATTTAACAGTGAGATTACAGTAAAAAAAAAAAAAGAAGAAGAATCAATCAGATTTGAAGGAGTGTTTCATTTTGCCCAGTAGAGGGTGCTAGCTTCTTTAAAAAAAAATCAGTCTACAATGGGTCAGAAAGGATCTTCGCAACTGATTTTATTTAAATGTAAAATAAAGAAGGGTTCGGAGGTGAAATGAAAAAAAAAGAAGAAAAGATTAGTTTAAGTTAAATGTTTCATTTATTTTCTTGTTTCAGACTAAAAAGTTTGAATCCAACATGAGAAAAACCAGTTGGTTTATGACTCATGTGCTGGTATGCATGAGCTGGGTCGTTTAATTGTGGCTGATCACGGCATTCCTCTGAATTTGGATCTACACAGAGACTTCTTTGGAAATGAGGAGCAGTCATTATTGTTCTAAGACTGCAGGAATGATTGCGCTGAATAGAGTTGTTCTGCAAGAACGACTGGCTGACAGTGTTAACAGACTGGATATTGTAAATCTGCACCATCATTGACTCATTGATGCCATAAAAACAAGAAATCTGTTATTGCCATCACACATCAACATGAATCACTGTTTCTAGGGAAAAGGAGGCAGGCTTTTGGATGTTTTATGAAGAAAATCTGATTTATCAGACACATTTAGCTCTGATATATATGTCCAAAAATTATTTATGGAATACAAAGTTTTTAACATTGTTTAAACATTATATTTAATAAATAATATATAGTTGTATTGATGTTAGTGGATTTGTAAATGTAACTCCTGTTTTTGTTTCCATACCCACTATGCAGCTGACTCGTTTAGCTCTCAGAACCTCCCTTTTGTACAATCTGAAGTAATTTACCTGTGTTCATTTAAAATGTTGTCATTAAATGACTAGCAAGTCTAATAAATTATTTCTGTTTTCATTCCATGAAAATAAACTGCCTCAAAGTGGTCATGATGTGTCTGAAACATTTATTTTACATGATGGTATCTGCGTAATATCTTATCTGTTGTAGATCATTTATTGAACATCCTCAGTTTGGGGACTTTAAGACTGATGAGCTAACAGCTAGTATGAGTAAGAAAAGGTTACCACCTACCAAAAGAAAAAAAAATCTGCATCTTGCTAAAAACAGTTACATTTGTACAAAATTTGTAAAAAAAAAAAAAAGTAACCTGGTATGTTGATTTAGGTGTGTTAAAGGGGACGTATGTGGGTCTCCGACGCCTCTATAAATACCATCCATTCATTTTCATCCGCTTATCCGGAGTTGGGTCACGGTGGCAGTAGCCTAAGGCGAGAGGCCCAGACTTCCCTCTCCCCAGCCACTTGGGCCAGTTCCTCCAGGGGAATCCCAAGGCGTTCCCTGGCCAGGTGAGAGACATAAGCCCCATTCCCACCTGTACCGGGTCGGCCCGGGCCGGGTAGCATAGGTTGTTTACATATCTGGGTGGCCTGGAATTTTCCCGGGCCAACCAAGGCTCATTCTCGGCCCTCTTCCCGAGGGGTACTGCTTCAGGCCGACCAGGGCCAACACACCCACTGCTGACAGCAAATTCACACCTTCCATTAGAGCAAGCCTCTGATTGGTGGGTAGAATCAGCCCATTCACACCTTCCATTAGAGCAAGCCTCTGATTGGTGGGTAGAATCAGCCCACATGGGCTTAAGGCAAGGATGTGTGGAATCAACCGGGCCAGGCTGGGGCCGACTGGGGCTACCCGGCCCGGGCCGACCCGGTACAGGTGGGAATGGGGCTATAGTCCCTCCACCGTGTCCTGGGTATACCTTTAGGTCTAGTGGGGACAGTGTGCTGCTGACCTCTACTCAGGATGTTGTGGATCAGTGGGCAGAATACTTCGAAGACCTCCTCAATCCCACCGACACGTCTTCATTTTGGAAGTTCTGTCGGAGGTGGGAATTGAAGCTCCTTCTGACAGGAGACTCTGCCAGATGTTCCCAGCAGACCCTCGCGATACGTTTGGGCCTGCCTGGTCTGACTGGCATCCTCCCCCACCATCTGAGCCAACAAATCACCAGGTAGTGGTCAGTTGACCGCTTCGCCCCTCTCTTCACCTGAGTGTCCAAGACATGCGGCCGCATGAAACAACAACAAAGTCGATCATCGAGCTGCGGCCTAAAGTATCCTGGTGCCAAGAGCACAAATGGACACCTTTATGTCTGAACATGGTGTTCATTATGGACAATCCATGACTGGCACAGAAGTCCAATAACAGAACACCACTCGAATGCAGATCAGGAGGTTCCTCCCAACCACACCTCTCCAGGTCTCACTGTTGTTGCCCACGTGAGCGTTAAAGTCCCCCAGCAGAACGAGGGAGTCACTGGAAGGAGCGCTCTCCAGCACCCTCTCCAAGGTCTCCAAAAAGGGTGGGTAGTCTGAATCGTAGTTTGGTGCATAAGCACAGACCACAGTCAGAACCCGTCCCCCCACACTTAGGCGGAGGGAGACTATCCTCTCATTCACTGGGGTAAACCCCAACGTACAGGCACCAAGATGGGGGGCAACAAGTATGCCCACCCCTGCTCGGCGCCTCTCAGTGGGAGCAACTCCAGAGTGGTAGAAAGTCCAACCCCTCTCAAGGAAACTGGTTCCAGAGCCAGAGCCATATGTTGAGGTGAGTCCGACTATATCTAGTCAGAACCTCTCAACCTCACACACCAACTCAGGCTCCTTCCCCACCAGAGGTGACATTCCATGTACCAAGAGCCAGCTTCTGTAGCCGAGGATCAGGCCACTAAGGTCCCTGCTCTCGACTACCACCCGTCCCACACAAGCCCCCACAATGCAGCTCAAAAATTGAGGCCAACCCGGAAGTACCAAAAATTGCTGTTCCACCCTCATCCGCTGGGGGCTGGTGTCAGAAGCGAGCAAATCCTCATTGACTCCCATGTTAAAAATACCAATTTCACAGCAGAAATAAACATGTTTACAGCCTGGTACCAAAACATGTTTTTGCTTTAAATGATCTAGTTTACACTCATGACAACTCTGAGGGGGGTGAATTTTTTTCTCACTCTTCTGTTTAAGTGTATTAAAAGCCTAAAATTCTGTATAATTAATGAGCATCAGACCCACGTGACCACAGAGCTAGCTCCATGGAAAGGCCTCAGTAGAGCCTCGGTCTGGCCTGGAAACTGTTCCGGGATTTTGAGTCTCTGTGTTTGTGTATTATTTTTTGGATATTTTTTGTGCAATTGTTGGACAAAATGACTTGCTGTGGCATTAATTGCACTAATAGAGCACCCAAGGTGTCTCCACTTCATTTTTTTTTCGGTAAGTAAAATTATATTTATGTATTTTAGGTCACTGCCGAGCTGAGCTTAGATTTTAACATGAACTGTTTAACCATGAAATTTAAATGTAATAGGGTAAAACCCAGTGCATTTAACATAATGCTGCACTTTAGAAAATGGGTTGAAATATAACATGTTGGTGGAGCTGGGTTCCGACTATCGGCTTGTGGAGCTCTCGGGAGACCGATGTTTTCCACCCGGTTCTCCCCTCCCCGCAACTCGGCTCATCTCTGTCTGATTGCGGCTTCTATCTGCTGCGCGGGCTACCGGCTGGTTCTTCCCGCAGCCCGGCTTGTGAAGCTCTGGATGGAAACCGATGTTTTCCACCCATTCTCCTCTCCCCGCAGCTTGGCGCATCTCTGTCTGATCGCGGCTTCTGTCTGCTGCGCGGGCTGCCGGCCGGCTTGTGGTTCTCCCCTCCCCGCAGCTTGGCGCATCTCTGTCTGATCGCGGCTTCTGTCTGCTGCGCGGGCTGCCGGCCGGCTTGTGGTTCTCCCCTCCCCGCAGCTTGGCGCATCTCTGTCTGATCGCGGCTTCTGTCTGCTGCGCGGGCTGCCGGCTTGTGGTTCTCCCCTCCCCGCAGCTTTGGGTTAGCTTCAGGTTAGCTTGTAGCTAGTTCGACCGGGTGTCATCAGTTGATCCCAGCCTTACGGCCCCACCCTCAGCTCCACCTGTCTTCCCTTTTGTGGAATTGTCTGGGCTTGACGGAACCTGTGGCACGGTCAAAATGGCGGTGGTGGCCACCTCCCATTTAGCCTCAAAAATGTGTTATTGGAGCCTATGGAAACCCATTGTCCAATATTTATATATCTATGGTCCCACACTGCACCCGACCCATTTGGCCCCTCCCACGAGTGGTGAGCCCATGGGAAGGGGGACCCACGTTTCCTCATCGGGTTGTGCCCGGCCGGGCTCCATGGGTGAAAGCCCGGCCACCAGGCGCTCGCCAACGCCTAAATAGAAACCCTCTCAATCATTTCAGTGGTTTTAGGAATTTTTTGCCTACAACAGGCCATTTAAAAAAGCCCCTATTTGTGATGTAACAAACAGGGACATTTGCATAAAACTGCCTCTCACCTCTCCAGTCTGGAGGAGCATTTGCTCTATTTCAAGCCCCTCCCTGATATCAGGGGTTTTGACATTGTAGAAAGCCAAAGGTGTGTGGGCATGGCCAGCTCCAGCTTGGTTTTTTTAAAGGTGCAGTATGTAAGATTATAGTGAGAATTTTACAATGAGAAAATCCCAAAAGAGTCTAATGTTTCAGTCATTTTAGAAGGAAGGTTCCACTGAAATATACTGTATTTTATATCCAGCTGCTGCAGGAATTTTCAGTTTTTCTTCTTTCAAAACAAAGGAAGGAGGGGTGTAACTACTGTTTACCATCACTGATTGTGGAGTTGCCACGTCTCCTGTGAGCTTGTCAGACTGGTCGGCTGGATACAGGAGTTGAGCTTGTAGAGAGCGTGGTTTCACAGACGCGGAAGTGATAGCGTAAGGTGAAACGCCGGCTCACGGTTTAATCCAGGAATCCCCGAGCCTTCGAGCGTCCATTAAGTGACACGGAAATGCTGGGTTTTTCCAAAAGTAAGTAAGAGCACTTACTGTGAGCAGATACGTAGTTCGTAAGATGGATTGGTTGATTGGAAACTCTGATCATGGATCTGAAGAAACGATGACTGAGTGGTGAGCTGGGGATTCGACTTCCGTATATAGTCGCGGTTAGTGACGTAGGTGTGATGTGGAGAGAATCCCCGCGAGGAGCATGCTGGGAGTTGTGGTCCATGGTGGAGATCGGCTAGCTGGGAGAGGCTGGTTTGGGGACTTGGGTTCTGACAGGCCCCCCCACCCCACCCCCCCACCCCCGTCCAGGGACGGCTCCTGAAGTCCCAGGGCAGCCCCGGCGGTCCCAGAAGTCAGAGATAAGGGTAGGGTCCAGGATGGAGCGGGCCAGTTCCCAGGAGTGTTCCTCTGGGCCGTAGTCCACCCAGTCTACAAGTTTTTGCCATCCCAGACCTCTGCGACGAGCGTCCAGGACACGTCGGACGGTGTAGATGGGCTCACCGTCGAGGAAGCGGGCAGGCGGAGGCGCCGGAGCTGGAGGCGGAAGCAGGGAGGATTCCACATAGGGCTTGAGCTGGGAGGTGTGGAAGGTGGGATGAATGCGGAGACTCGCCGGCAACAGCTGCCGGTATGAGACCGGGTTGATGACCTTCTGTATAGTGTAAGGCCCGAGGAACCGGGGAGCGAGCTTCTTGGATCCGGCACGGAAGCGGAGGTCCGCGGTGGACACCCAGACCTTATCCCCAGGGTCATAGGAGGGACCAGGACGGTGTCGGCTGAGATGTTGGCGAGCGTACCAGGCGTTAGCTTGGGTGATGGAAGCTCGTGCTTTGATCCAGGCGTTCTTGCAGCGCCTCACTAGGGATTACGCGGCAGGTACAGCGTCTTCGGGCTCCTGGTGGGTGAAGACCGGGGGCTGGTAGCCATAGCAGACCTCGACAGGGGACATATGAGTGGTCGAGGAGGTGTGAAGATTGTGGGACAACTCTGCCCAGAAGAGGTATTTAGGCCATTGCGAGGGTTGGGCCGAGACAAAGCACCGGAGGTACCGACCCAGCTGTTGGTTAACCTGCTCCA